AAACAGCTAGCTTCATACCTAAATTTCCTTTTCCAAATCATCACCTTCATGAGCACAGCGACTGCTTATGGAAGACAATGGGCATTTACACTGTTACAGCACATCTTGCCTGTAATGTAAATAGTACTACCAGTGTAACAAATCACAAGTTCTCAACCTAGATAAGGCCCATGGTGTGCGTATGAAATATTTCCTATCACTAAAACTATGTTTCTAACCACTGAGATGAAGCTGAGAGGTAAAGTTTAGTTCGACTTTAATTTTCTGTACTGGACAGGAAGTGGTTACTAGCATAAAGGCAGGGAGATGAGGCTCGATACTTCTGTCAAACATACAATTTTTAACTTGCTTTTTATTTGTACTTACGCCTCATCTATGCCAGCATGAAGAGAAGCAGTATCAAAAATAGAAACTTAAGAAATATGACCAGATCTTCACATGTTGCAAATTAACCTCTCTGGCTACAGTGGCCAGTCTTTTCTGAAGTACCAAACTGATGCTAGGTAGTAGGTGATGTTTAAGAAACAAACAAACCAGCAGTGCTCCAAATGGGAGTCAGAAGCATAGTAATGTTTCTCAAACTTGGCAGCTACTCTTGTCTGGGAAGCAGTGCAGGGGGGCAGTACCAATGTTACTGATGACAGACACACATGAATATGCCTGTAACGAAAATGTACTTTTATGCCCATGTATCTTCCTGTTCCTTGCCCATTCTGTACTTTCTTGAACATCACATAAAACACTGTCAAAGAGCCTGAACAAAAGCGCAAACGGCCTGGATCAATACAGTTTAAAAAATATAGACACGATACTCCAAGTAAGCCTCTCAGATTCATTCTGGTTAAGCATTATCTGACATGATACAAACTTCCAGCAAGGAGATCTAGACTAGAATTAGTGAGAGAAGCAAAATTACATCTTTTCCTTAGCAGAATGTGTTCCCGCTTATCAGAGCCGAGGTCGCTGGCAGGGCAACTTGCATTGTGGTTGCCTGCTACTTACTTGTGAAGGCATCTTTTTTTTGACAGTCTTTTAAACTCCAGAAACACAGCAAAATGGGTACAGGATGAAAGTCTCACTCAAAGTCCATAGTGTTTTTTATTCTGCTACTCCCATAATTGCAAAATAGGGTAAAAGCAAGACCTATTTCATGTTTCCAGACCGAAAGTTTTCACATACCCCGATGGCATCTGACACTCCCAAACAACTGAATTCCTTCCCCAGATAGGCAAGACAACTTTAAGTTCAGGGATGACACTCATAGAAATGAGCTCAGAAGTTGGCTATGAAAATACTAATGGAAAATCAGGCAAAGACTATTAAAAATAACTAAATCCCACTATTCTCTCTCAGTTTAAGGATCATTGTTAAGATGAAAGATCTGCTATGTTGTTCCATAACACACCCAAGCTTCCTTTTGCAGATCAGGTTAGCTCTTCAGCCCAATTTTTACTGTGTCCAGAACACAGTGCGCCCACTACCATTCATTCTGTTCCTTCATTAGCTTCCTCCACAAAGTGAGGACAGAGTTGGACCTTGGGTAGGTGTAAGATTAATCTGTTCTACAGGTCACTCATTCCCAGAACATTGGGACCTCTAGTTAAATGCAAGACATAAGACATACCTTTTTCTCCCCCTCAAGTGTTTGGGGATTTTTAGTGTTAAGTTTATACTATGGGGCACAATGATACTAGTGTAAGGGAAACGTATCTTCACTAATAGTATATTTTGCTATAATTAGATAAACCCATAAACTTAACATAAAAGTAATCAGAATTTTTTGACTACAAGCATGTTTTAGAGATCACAAGCAGTAGAACTAACTACACAGCTGTTGCCAACTACATTTCTAAAAGCACCATGCAAAGTAACAATAAACACTGCAAACATAACATAGGTTAATTGAAATCAGGAGATCCCTGACAATTTCCTAACTCTAAAAATTTGTCAAAAAGTCTGAAAACAAACAACCCCCCCCCCGAAGTCTATGACACTGAGATATTCCCATAGTTACTCAGTAGATTACATTGAAATACAGAAGCCAAGCTTCAAACAGCAAGAGGAGGACATGAAGCATTCTTAAGTCAATTAAACTGTCTAGAGTATGGATTCAGAATAAAATATAAAGTTTAAAAATACAAATTAGCCTATTTCTATGAGAAATAATAATCACTGGTATTATCATCAATGCATATACTCAAAAGAATCCAAAACAAGCTCCAAATAGGCTAAGTCAGACTTAAACTGAATTACTTGCATATGATCACAGTCCAAGCCTGTATCAGTCAATGTGGGGGAAAGGGACGGGGCCGGGAGCTGGGTGGGTAAGCCCATACCTGAAATACACATGGAGCAATTTTCTGCAGCTATATGAAAAACAATCACTCTTAAAGCAGCATAAATAGTGGCATTCACGAAGCATAACACTCTCCATGGAAAATATTTCATTTGCCTTTTTGGTGAGTGATGACTAGCTAGGCATAACAGATTTGGTGTTTTAAAGAGACAAGCTGTTTGGGGATCTGAAAATAACAGCTCTGCTTAGAGGAAACGCTGTAGGGTTCTGCACTGTTAACAGAGCTGGAAAAGACCTCTGGGTCTCTGGGGGAAGGAAAAATTATACGAAGTTTAAATGAAGGAAACTTACATTTGTGGTTTATGGAATAGCTTTCATTATTAGTCTCTGAGGAAGACAGATAATTTCTGCTAAAGTTATTCAACTTGTTTTTTTTTCTCTGCTCCCACAGAGGACTTACATCTTTACTTTCCTGTTGAGCTCACGAGTCTTCATTCACCCACATGAGCTCCTGGCTAAAGTGGGGCAGCTCTGCATTAAACAGAAGCAGCAGCTGGAAACGGGGACTGAGGCAGAAAAGGTACGTGAACCTTTATTTCCTCAGGTAGCTCTGTCATTCTCACTTATTTACCAAGCCCTCATTGTCACTGTGAAGCTATATAGATTGATAAAGAATAAGCTGAAACTGTAATCAGCATCTGTTACTGAATACACTTTTATTTGAGTCTTTGTCCTTTAAGCACTTTTGTTTCCTTGATAGCCACAAGCATAGATGTGGCAGGTAAAGAGGCAGATACAGCCATAGGAGACACGACTTTGCTCTTGACGCTGCAGGTCAGCGCCGTGCACTGAGCACTGAGTGTCTGCACGAGACCTGCCCAGCCACGCGGCTTCGTGCCCCTGGCCTTTCGTGTGGTGCCCTCCTGAACTCCATTCCTCTTCCTCCACTGACCCTCCTCATGGCTATTAATACCGAAAGTTTTGCTACAGGCACCCTGAAAACTGTTATTGGTGTTTTAAGTGGGTTTAATAATAAATGAGTAGAGTTACCCCTGAGCAAGAACGGGGGGATGCCTAAAATGGTAGCCTGTGCTTACATGTGCAAATATGCAGTATTAGTAGCTTGCTGTACTACTAAATCAGACTGGCTTAGTTTGTGATATGCACTTGAAGCCATTTAAGTCCTATTATGGACTTACTATTTCCCAATTATGGAAAAAGTGTACTGAAGGAATGATACTTCCATTTCAATCAAGTCTGAGATGCATCTCAAGGTGGCAGAAACAAGGACTCTAAAGCAAATAAAGCTTTAAATTGTTGTTCAAATCCTGGGCCCACTTTGATTTCATTTTTTATTGTGGGAAACTACAGCTCACATTTCTGATTCGCAACATGTTGATAATCCTGTTTGCTTTCCTCCTGGTTGTATCGGGAAGAGCAGGCAGCTCAGTAGGCAACCCTGTGGTTGGGCAAATTAGAATTGTCAACAGCAGTACTGACCTAAGGCTCCCCTCTCCTTTACTTCTCCCAGTGCTGGGAAATTGAAAGGATAGGCAGAAAGTGCAAGATCTACTACATCCAGGTGGAGGTTGTTCCCATTACCCTAAGCTGGTGCTTCAGATGGCACTGGTTCCACAGCTCCTAGCTACCTAAGCAGCAGAGGTAGGAATTTGTCAGAGATGATGGAGCAGATAGTCTCAGCTGTCTGCAACGTCAAATGAGCAAGACTCCCCATAGGCATGGAAGAGGAAGACTGACTGCTCTCAGGAGTTAGTGTCAAAATCCACATGTAAAATATTTGGATTTAAAAATAACTTCATACGAGAGTAAATCTTCCATGTGAATACCAGCAAATTTTTGTTTTTCTAAGAAAAAAAACAGTAGCTGGAGAGTAAATTTGCAGGCTCAGGCACCTTTGTAGGTCCTGGTGGTAAAGCAGCATGACTGGCTTCTCAGCAGACATTAAAAGTACAGCTTCCACCCTGAGATGACAGGGCATTATGTCCTAACAACAGGATGTAAAATAGAGCAGCTCGTATCCCAAACGCCCACACTCCTGCACCTTCTGCTGGTAGTTGGGAAATGGGCCTCCAGAAAAAACAACAAACAACAGGGTGACAATAAAACTGATCTGTTCGGGAGGCTGCTTTGGTTCACATGCTTTGCTAGATGCTCTTCTTACTATACCCTTGGCCCCTTTCTATTTCCTAAGTAGAAACTATGCTTCTTCATGCCCATTAAACACAAAATTCCTGAAATAACACACATAAACTTCTGGCATCCCTCTCAAATGACTGCTTAGCAGACTTCTACTGCAAGTACTTGCATGAATTGCGGATTAATCTGGCCACTGGCTTTTTTTTTTTTTTTTTTTGCTATTTGGTAACAAATAAAAGTTCATCTCATGTGCAACATGGAAATTATTGACCCAAGGTGCTCCACGTATTCACAGTCAGAACCCATTAAGGTATCATCAGCTCCCAGCATCCTTTAATTAAGGGCCTCAGTAGCAGGAAGTGCCTGGCAAAAAGAGTTAAAGTCGACTCGATCGTTTCTGATAACAGCTTCACATAAACAAATTCTAAAGTGAGAAGCTGTCCAACTCGTTGCCCAAGTAGCGTGTGAGCTGCAGAAGTGGCAGGGAGCCAGGTTTTGAGGTTACGCACCACAATATTTATCATTCTTTTGTTTTTGACGTCACGACCAGGCCTGTAGAAAACAGCCCAGAGAAAAGTGGATAAAAAAGGAAAACTCTCTGGGTTCTCTTGGAGCCCAGAGTTCTTTTGGCCAGTCATAAAAAGAAAGAGTTTTACAGCTTAAGGCATCCATTATAACATACAAGTCAGTAGTTAAGCTTGACCATAAAGAATAAAATTTAACTCTCCAGAAGTGCATCTCATCCAGAAGTGCATTGGAGGATGCCAAAAGAGGCTGAGAAAAAAGCTCTCATATAGTATGTTCAGTGATAAAGTAGTTGTTAAAACCAGTGGTGTACTATTTCCAAAGCTTGAAGACATGTTTTTAATCACAGATTTTAAAAAAACAGAGTAAGAGAGTGAAATAGAGCAAGACCAAAAGAAAAAAAAATGTTAGCTTCTATTAAGCTGGTCTCCCCTCCTATCTTGTGTCTCACATGTAATAGGGCTCAAGCACTTTAGGTTAATAGAAACAGTTTGTCAAACAAATATTTATGGGAGAAATATTCCCACTGACTCCAGGGAACTCTATATCAGGCTTCACCAGAAGAGATGCTGAAATCTGGAGAAGAACTATGGAAAGAGTAGGTTAGCATGTTTCTTCCAAGCATGACATAAATGAACGTGCATGTTGCTGCTCCCTACAGATGTGGGATTTTATCTAGGTTATATCGAGTCATGTGCACCAAGGCTGTCACGCTGCCTTGTTTCATCAGAATGCAAGTGAAACAAGAATCTTGTGTTTTGCAGTACTGATAGTTTTCAGTATTGCAGTTGGAAAGAAGATCTCACTTTCATAAGTATTGAAAGCATTCGATAAAATATATATTTTTAATCCCTGTATTCCTGAAAAGTGATATGGTTTACAGTTTTTCTTACAAAATATGGCTAGCTTTCCATTATCAAGGAGGCAAAGCCTAGTCACCGATTTGTACAAAAGCATAAGAACAATCAGTGTTCTTGGAGAGCTAATTGCCATGGCCAGAGGGATCCTTTGGATCCTTCCTCCCATCCTGCCTTTCCAGTCTCATAAGTCAAAAAAAAGGAACAGCCGGGATGGTTAACACCAAGACAGTTACTTAAAAGTTTCTGGTGAACAAACAAGGAGCAGGCATGTGGAAGACAGACAACTATTACCTGCAGCTCTGTCCTGCTCTTAGAAAGACCATGATACTGGGCTTCATAGGAACTGCACTGGCAGAGGTTGCAGTTTTGGAATTTGCATCTATGTATCCATGTCTTTTTGCGTAAATGCCCACTGATGGCAAAGAGAACAGTAACATTTTCATTTTGGCATCACTGTCCAACCCTTCAGTGCTTCTCTCACTAGCAGGAGCAACTAAATGCTACCAATAAAAGCAGCTACGAGAAACATATCATCTGAGTGCAAAAAAATCCCTTCAGACATCCCCAAACAGCACAGGTTCATTTTCAGATTAAAAATTTAAATGCACATGGTTTAATTTTAAAATTCTTACTAACCACTATCAATGCCCCCCCTGAGAATTAGAACCAGGGCTAGAGTGTGCCAGCAAGATAAAGAAAGCGTATGCAAGAAATAGTCTAGTGTGTTGGACTCTTGGTTTTGTGTAATCAAACAGGGAGATACTGTGACCAGAAAATGCTCTGGGGCAGGGATTCCTACTAATGCTTGTAAGAGATTTTCTGCATGTTCTGAAAGAAAAAACACATTCCTTTCCCGTATGACGCTCATGGGCTAAGTCCCTCTGTGTAACCCCTAAGCGACCGCTGGGGAGCACAGGAGGAAAGTGCATTGCTCCCCCCAATGAGGAGGAGCTGCCATGTAAGGGAACTGCTTTAGCTCAAGTAGGGGGTAAACACAAGCGAAAATGTCCTCTTTTTCCTTGGGCATCACAAGTTGGGTGGGGAGACAGACACAGCGTGAATTAAATTTTGCTTCTTCCTGTTCATTGAAAGTCCTAGCACACACGCTTCCAGTTTTACAAGGGTAGTCCTTTGCATTTACTGATGCAGCCCTCTAACTGTGATACTGAAATAACTGGCATGCAGATGAGGTCTAAGTCATGAAAAGCCTTAGAAGATTCTCTGCTAACAACACAAACAGTGCACTCTCCCCTTTCTGCAATTGATGTTTTTTTTTTTTAGTAAGAACCAATATTTATTTTCTAAGTCCCATTCAACTTAGGTGTCATGGAGAGAACAAACACATCTTTCCTGACAGTAAAGACAGCTCAATCTGGAGAGCCTGATAAGTTCTATAGAACAAGAATATCATTTTGAACATTTGTTGTGAAAAAAAATCTCATGGTTCTGCACTGCAGTTTATATGCATTTGAATTAAAACACTGAGGTGTTGCTGCCTCAGATGGCATAAAGCAGTTTTAAGTCCTATTGACTTCAACTTAACAAGAAACTTACAGCATCCTGTCGTCTTCCCAGCTCTGTACAACTAACCTTGAAAAGTTACTCAAAGTATTTGGTCAGAGACCTTGCCAGGTGTAATGAAAGTTGACTAAATCTTAGTAGGTAGGAATCTGGCTCACAGTTTAATACATTTTTTCTCCCCCTCACCTACTACTAATGAAAAGATTTTTTTCAAGGTTGTTTGTAGTTTTATGCAGAGCTTCACCAGTTATTCATTCCCTCTGGAGTTAAAAAAAAATAAAAAAAAAAAGTCTCTGATCAGTAATTGACTCGTTATTTCTTTCCAGGCAAAGCTAAAATCCTTTGCCGCCAAGATCATTCAGCTCCTAAAGGAATGGACTGAAACTTTCCCCTATGATTTCCAAGATGAAAAATCTATGAAGGAGTTGAAGGAGATTGCTCACAGGATCACACAATGTGATGAGGTGAGGGCAAAAAATCTTAAATGGGAATTTAATATTTGTGTCAGTCTTTATATATACTTCATTATATTATATACAGACTTCTGTGCTTGCTCCCAAATGCTGTATTTTGTATGTTTCATTTCTTCCTCTTATCCTTAGTGAGAAATATCCATGATGATATAAAGAATAGATGTGGTGAAGGAGGTGAAAGGAGAGGAGTGAAGAGCGATATTATACAGGCGCAATGTGGTTAACTTCCATGACAAATTATATACCATTCTTCATACATTATTACTACTCTGTTTGTCCAAGTGCCTTAGGACATATCAGCTAGCTCTATCGGATGTACTCTAGCTCAAGATGAAGATACTGATGATTTAGGAGCTTGGTTCCAGCTCATAACAATAATCACAGCTTTTTATTACCACATGTCAACTGTCATGGGGAGCATCGTGCCGAAGCAAGCTCCTTGAGCCCTATTAGTGAGTCCATCACTAGGCTCAACACCTATGAGATTTCAGGTCTATGAGAAAACTAGAACTCACAGAAAACATTTTTTTTTCCCTAAATCAAATGGATAAAGCAATTCAAGTAAAACAAGCATTTTGAGTGCTTTGGGTTTTGTTTGTTTAAGAATTTTAAAAGACCCCACTTTTTCTTACCAAGAAATTCATTAGAAGTACCAACGGGCAGAAGAGAGGATAGAATCAAGAACTGCAAGGGCATGCACTCTAAGAAGTGTTTGTGTGAATGTGAAGGGCAACTAAAGTAGATGCTTGCCAGTGCTTGGGATCCCCCAAATGCTGAGATGTTTAAGAATAGTTAGCGGGAGATTGGAAGACAATCCTATCATGTGTGGTTTTGTTGATTCAAGTACAGAGAAGTAACAGGTTTGACAGCATTGTGTGATTAGGTGTTACTAAGTTGTCTGAAGGAAGTTTATGTCAGTTTTGTTGCATCAGCAGTGCAATTTACCTGGAAATTACTATGAACAAAGGTGCCAGCAGTGCCTTAGCAGGAGGGGAAAAGGAGGGAGTATGCAGTATGCCCTCTGTTCCCCAAGAGGCAGAGACATGGCTGTGAAAGGTGACTTCACAGAACAGCTGGGGTTTTAGTGTAGGTAGTTTGTCTATTATTTTGAACTTAAAAAATAATTTAAAAAAAGAGACACTGAAGTGTGAAGACACTTCATCTTCCCTCACACTTGTGCATAAATAGATTGTCATTTGGAGAAAAATGTCTTCATAGAGTGGCTCAGCGCTCAAGTATTCAAAGTTTCTAATGACATTCATTAATTACAGCCTCATAGTATTTATCTGCTTAACAATGCTACAAGTCAAGTTTGATCAGTGAAGAGCTAGGCCACATCTGACCCCTAGGAAAGGTAATTTGACAGTGACACATGCAGATTTTACTCTCAGTATTTGTTCCCTCCTCCTTTCTGAGGAGTTTTGTGCTTCCACAAGTGGTTATAGGAATGCTGGTGGGATGTTCTTTTGTATTTTTAGTCTTTTCCAAATCCCTTTAAAACTGTTCTCCATATATAGGAGATAAACAACTCATACAAAGCAACAATCTTGTCTTGATGATGACATAGTATAATAACTAGTTATAGTTCCTGAATAATTAAAGATTTGATTATAGAACAAAACATAGGTGGTAAAGTCATAGGTGGACTCTCAATGATCTTTGCATTTAATTTATATGTAACCACTAGACTAGCAAAATGCACTTTGGCCACTAAGGGTAACACACACACCCATTCATGAGAGCAACACCAGTGCTGGTGACAGACGTGTAGCCAGGTTTGAGCTCTGGGTACAGTGAAGATGTCTTCTTTGAAGTCAAACAAGGACAAATTCTTGTAAACCCAGGGACTCTGGAAGCCAAACTCAATAGAACTGTATGTGCTCAGACCAGCTGAAAGATTTGTCTGTATTTTCAAAGTTGAAAAAAAAATTAAGGCAAGATATCCAGTGAAAGGAAACCGTGAAAACTCTTAAGACCATTTCTCTATATGTTAGGATGCTACTAAATTCACAATAGTTTAGGTAGTTTTTAATGTTGCTGCATTTTCTTTTTCTCCATATTTGATTCCTTATCTAGTCCATATCTAGAAAGTTTGCCTTCTCACAGACACATGAATTCAATGAAGTCACAATATAAAGGGGATATCAGAGACTAGAATTAATTCTTCAATTTCAGCCCCCTCCCTTCCCACTCCAAACACACACACACTCCCTGTTGGCCCTTATGAACACTTGTAGCACAATATCTGAAATAGCTCCGACCAGCTGCTGTTTAGCAATAATCCAGTTGTCTCATCAGGATGAGCTATGCTGCTTTCAGCTTTTCATTTGATTCCACTTGGGAGTCAGATTACTGCCCTGTAAAGCAACGTTCTGATACCATTATTGCTTAATTATCCCATGCAGTATACAAGTGTTTAGTAGTCATGGTCTCTCACATCTGCTACATAATTTCAATCATCATTGCACATTAGTGGCTTCTTTGAATGGTCACGGATTTATTGCAAATCTTCCTAGTGCCTCCCATTGACTGGATGGAACCAGCACCTCAGACTGTAAACTAACAGTTAACGCTGTAGCTAACTTCAAGAAATAACTGGGTTGAAACCAAGAGAACAGTACCGTAGGGATAAGCAGATGACCATCTTTGCTAGAAATAGTTACCTGAGCAGCAGCAAGAACAGGGTCAGAGATCTTGGGTCACTTAAAGGGGTTACTTTAGCAACATAGGTAGGGCAAGATGAGGCTGGCCTCATAAGAAAGTGTCTGTAGGACACAGTCCATGACAGAAAGAATGGAGCTTGCTTTATTTGACAAAAAACAGCATGTTGATTATATTTGTTATTTTCCTAGTATGTTTCCTTGCATATCCTACATTTAAAATCCGTACCTGACAAACAGAAGGGGACTTTTTTTTTTTTTTTTTTTTGGCCAGAGGCATGATGATTATTGGGTTCCTTTGTAAATCATCAGGTGCAGCTATAATTGCTATTTGAACCTCAATGCCCAGCCAGAGTATTTTAGGGGTATATTCCTAGATACAGTGCGAATTCCCTGGGTTCTGTGCAAAATAGACTTGATTAATCAGTTGGCCTGATGAGAATGAGAAAAAGCTTTTTATCACTTTCTGCGCAGAATATCCAAGAAGCCTTGTGGCAGGCAGCTCAGCAAGCACCTTTCACTGCACCCACTTTGAAGCCCTTGACTCAGAAGCCCTGAAGTGGGTCACCAGCTGGAGGAAACTGCTGCGAGCAGTGAGCCAGCCAAGCTAGTGAAAGAGAGCTGAGGAAGGTGGCAGGCATAGCAAGGTTACTGCAAAGGTGCCTGAGCAATTAGGATACAAGTTCATCTGACACAGAATAATCAGAATGATAAGATGAAAGGTAATGAATAAAGGCATTTATCACAGTCAGAAATTCTTAGGTGATCTGCATCTGAGAGCTAGAGCTTTTCAGTAGTCAATATTTCTCTCTTCTGGTTAGGAAAATGGGACAGTGAAGAAGATCATTAGCCAAATGACACAGAATCTCCTGATGGCCCTCTCTGCACGGAGCCAGTACCAAGAAATCAGAGAGAAATTTCGGCAACCCGTTGCTGACAAAGGAACCATCCTCAAAAATAAGCCACAGTCATCTCAAAAGGACATCCTGAGTGTGTGCTGTGACCCACTGGTCCTGGCTCAGCAGCTGACCCATATAGAACTGGTGAGATATTAACTTGGATGAATTATTTCATTTTTCATTTACTAAATATTCATATTTTTATGACCATGAACTTAGCTGTAGGTGTTGTGGAAAGCCTTCCATATTTTAATCAAATCTTGCCAAGTGGTGAGCAAGAACAGCTGGGTCTTGCGCACCTATCCTGTAAAACCTACGTCAGTATAGAAAGCTAAAGGAAGATGAACGTTACCAACATGATCCCCTCATTTTGGATTTATTGATGTATTTTTCACTGAGTTCCCTGTCTGTCTGTGCAATAACAGCATCTCTCATCTCCTGAACATAGGAAAGAGAGAGCAACATTTACCCAGAGGACCTGATGCAGATTGTCAGCCACATGGACTCCCTGGATAATCACAAGGTACAAGAAGGGATAGGAAGTAAACAAAAGAATAATCAACATAAAAAATGGCTCGTCGTTGCACATGCTGGAAAAGTTGCCATTTTCTAACCTCCCTTGAGCTCGTGCCTTAAGAGATACCCAATAAGATTGTATAAAGACATGAACCAGAAGCTTATATTTTGATAGGCTGCCTGTATCATGGCACGATATGATAAACACACGGCCTTTTCTCTTGCAGTGCCGAGGAGATGTTACCAAAACCTACACTCTGGAGGCCTATGACAACTGGTTCAACTGCCTCAGTATGCTGGTGGCTACGGAAATTTGTAGGGTAGGTACTAGTAGAAGACGAGATGGCAAAATAATCCGTCCCAATAGCGAGAGGCAGGCTGTGGTCTAGTCGAGGTTTAAAATTTTAGCAGTCAAATATTAAGATAATTGCATTACAGATAATGGCATTAACTCGTACTTTACATTATCTGCATGCTTGTGTGTTTGGCGCTACATTGAGCTTTACGTGCATTCTCTATTTTTGTGTAGCTTCCATACTAATATCAGTTATGCAGTGAAATGGAACTTAAATGAAATTTGAGTTGCAAAACTCATTTGGACTTTTTAATATAGTCATTCTCAAAACTATTCATCTTTAAGTATATGTTTCCTTGGTAAACTGCAGTCCTTCCAGAGCATTGTTATTATTAGTCCTGCCATATGTTCATTTTTGTTGTGGAAAAAACAGGAATAAAACTTCAGAAATGGGGAAGAAAGTGGACTATGAGTGTGATAAAAAAAAGAGAGGGAGAACACTCCTTATTAGAGGTTAAATTCAGTTTTCACCATCTGTAAATAACAAAGAAAACAAAATATACAGCTCCAGAAGCCCCTTTTTTTGCTTGTATATTCTCTCATTCTTTGAGATTCCTATTAACATGCACTAATTTTGCCCTGCAGAAATTTGTCTGTATTCTTACAAGGTCAGTAGCCCTCTTGAGAAGGGGAAACCATCTTTCAGATGCTCATTGTGTTTTTATGAAATCTCACGTTTTAACCCTAATTTTTTTGCATGCTTTCTTCCTTCTGATAGCAGATTCATGTTTTGCTCCTTTTCCAGTAAGAGGAAATTGCTGAAAGTTTCCCACTTGTTTACATAAGATTCCCCAAGATGCTGAGCTTCATGTTGAAACAAGCATAAGCAAAAAGTTACACTCCCCCCTTGCATACGTGGCTCTCAGCAACTATGCTGCGTATAAGGATGGAACATATTGCATATAATACAGCTGGACAAGTAGTTGGTAGTAGCCCAAAATACTACTGCTATTTTATTAAAAAAAGAAGCTTAGCAAAATGCCACAGGCCTGTATCATTTTAAGGTCTCTTATCTGGATAAAGTCTCAAAATATTTAGTCAGTCAACCAACTATAAATTCCTTTGACTGAACCTGCTGCCCAACCAAATTTGACACCATTCCTTCCCTCTTAACAGATCATCTCTGTTTCAGGTTGTGAAGAAAAAGCAGCGTACAAGAATGGTGGAGTTTTTCATCGATGTGGCAAGAGAATGCTTCAACATTGGGAACTTCAACTCCATGATGGCCATTATCTGTGAGTAACCTTGGCACAGATGACAAAGGTGCTGCAATTTGATAGCCTGACCAGCAAATCTACTCTCAGACCAACCCCCTCAGTTTGCACCCCATGGGGTACCCGTGGCAGGCTGATGCCCCGGGCAGTAGCTACAGGTTTCACTGGTCGAGCTGAACTGCCTGCCAAAGCACAAGTGCACGGTGCTGACATACAAACACAAGGTAGACTCGTTTCCCTATATTTTAGCTTAATTGTTTTTGTCTTTCTCCTATTTCCATTCAGCTGGCATGAATTTGAGTCCTGTGGCACGGCTAAAGAAGACATGGTCCAAGGTCAAAACAGCCAAATTTGATGTTTTAGAGGTACATATGAAGTTTAGACTTTGTTTAAATTAAAATAAATCTATCAAATAATAATCCCACAAGGAAAGGTTTGGATGCAGTATAAGATCAGAGGTATCTCCATCAATGGTCACCAACATATAAACACAAGATATTTCCAGAATTTCAACCCCCCACCCTCCTTAGGTGCAAGGAAAAGCAGATGCAAGTTTTCTTTAGATTACTCATTCCCAGCAATTTTTCAATTGCAGAGAAAGGTAGTTTCCAACAATTTATGGATTCTGTTTTCACTCTTCATGCAAATGATTCCTGGATTCCCCTGATTCTAATTAAAGCACTCCATCTAGTGGAGATCTGGATCAAGACAAAGTTAATGGAAATCGGCATCAAGACTAGTGACTGCAAGTTCAAATTGGAATTTTTTTTTTTCCCCAGAAGTTCATTTATTATTTCAAGTTTGCAGTAACTATTGAAAGACAAAATGTAGATGTGAAGTCCATGCAGTACCTGCCTTTCAAGAATAGAAATTAGCTAAAAGTTTGAATCCAAACCTTATCAGTATTAGGTATCCTGCCTTTTAAGTGTAAAGTAGAGGCGAAAGGGCTAACCTCTCTCTTGATTAGGTCAACACTTCTGTTTACTTAACATAACAAAACTTTCCTGTTTTGCTCCTATCAAAAAACAGCATCACATGGATCCATCCAGCAACTTTTGTAACTACCGCACAGCCCTGCAAGGAGCAGCCCAGCGATCTCAGACTGCCAACAGCAGTCGAGAGAAAATTGTTATCCCAGTTTTCAACCTGTTCATTAAAGATATCTACTTTCTGCACAAAATACATACAAACCGTTTGCCCAATGGGCAGATCAACTTCAAGGTAGGAATTTGCAATTATAGAAACTACAACACGAGTCAAATGCTTTACTGGTGATTTTGAATCTCGGTATCTCACAGAGTTCTTTACATGTTGCAGCATTGCTGTAACCTAGACAGATATATGTTATCTAGAGGAAAGCATTTTAACTGCTGCAGTTACAGTATCTATATTGCATATCTCATGGATCACCACTGCATATACAGAAGGGAATACATAAAACTGCTGGAATATAATTGCCTTCTGTTAAACATTAGTTTTAAAAATGTACTGAAGTATCAATTTTTCTTAGTTTTACACAAAGCAGGAACAAAATGCACTGCAAGGCATCAAATATACATAAGTAGAAGTTATTTTAATAATATTAATTGATTACTAAAAGCAGTGCACAGAAAGACTGAGAAGAGAATTTCAGAAGCCAAAATCCAAGCACTAGAAATTACTTAAAGGATACAAAAATGGTCTGATATTAGTTAACTGGAAAGTAAAATGTCTTAAAGAAAGGTTGTGCTCAAGCAACATGTAGCGTAAAGGAAAGAACACAAAATCAAGGAATACAACAAATTTAGCATATTATGGCAGAGAGAATAGTTTATACCTTCGCACCTCACTCCTGCCTTATGCTCTATCTATAAAAGAACAGGAGAAGCCGGGAGGAAGATAAAGCAGGGAAAGGAAGCCTTTTGATGGACACGAGCCCTTAGCTCTTCACACTGTGATAGTCACTTCACTCAAAGTTTTCAGAGTTGTTCTCATTAGGTTAGCTAGCTACAAACACCATTCTCAATCAGCAAATGGTACTTAACAGGTCTTCAATGTCTTTGAAGAAATGCACTATTTACTCTTCTAGTAGATGAAGAGGAGTGAGTGCAGCTGCTTTTTTCCATAGGCAGATGTGCATTTATGTTGAAGAACAATTTAGAATTCTAGGTTAATTTCAAGGTGGAAGTACAGTTTACAATGGAGGAAAGAGCTGAAGAAGAGATTAAGAGTCTCCCAAGTCTCCAAACATAAAAGGTGACCCCACTAAGTGGGCGCTGTCTCAGCAAGCAATGGAGACATTCAGCTATCTGGAGATTTAAGATGGGAGCAGGGAAAGGATGGTGTCTATAGCACTGTGGTCACTGGAGCCAGGTGTCAGATACAAAGCAGGGGTCCTTTGAAAGCTACATAAAAGGTCACAACCCCAAGGAACTCTTTCTTTGCAAAGATTTGCTAAATACACGGGGAAAAAAAAAAAGTGATGGTCAAGAGCAGCAGTTCTAATTAGAAGCTTAATATAATATCAGAGGTTATTGCAGTCTACTAGAGCAGATGAGGAAAAACAAAGACTTGAAAGCTTCTTCATCATTAAAAAGGCCTTATGAACAATTACCCATTATGGAGAAATAATATATTACAGAATTTAGGTATCTTCATAATCCTGCCTATTCAAAAGTGTATCTCTGGTGTAAACAGTTCTCACTAATTATACTATTAAAACAAACCACATATTTTCTAAAGCAAGAGGATCTTCCTGACTTGTAAAGGAAAAGATGATTCTCCAGTCATACTTTTATTTGGAGAATAAACAGTAAGAAGAGTACTATCCAGTTACTACTCTCTTGCCTATAACCTGCTTGTATTTGGTCCTGCACATGTAACAAGAAAATGCAGGATTTCTTTTCAGTCCTGGCCTGGAAACAACCCAGGGTTTTCGTCAAGTAGACAGAATGGACTTCTATTAAAAATAGCACTTGACTCCTAAATGGTTGCTTGTTAGTCCAGTTTGGAAAGGGTAGATTTTTTTCCATGAAAATAATGTGGCAAGATTTCTACCAATTTGGGTCTCTTTCTCCCTGATTAATAAGCATGTGTGTTCAAGGGACCACAGCCTGTTAATATTCTGCCAGAATTCTGCCTGTATTAAAAACAATGAGGGGCAAAATGCACAAAGCAAGCACCTAAGTAGTTATATTTTTCCTATAAATCCTTGAAACAGCTTCTATGCATTACTTGGATTATTTCTTAAATATTAAGAATGCTTTATGAACAAGTCAGGAGTGTCATAGTTCATTTAAGTTCAAGGTTGGAAATGTAAAAAGTAAAATGAATGAAACATATTTTCTGACCAGTTCACTTGCAGGTTAATGTAGTGATAAGATTAAAAAATGGACCAACAACATTATAAAAAAGTATTCTTTATGTAAATGCTGTATATTAGAAAAATGTTGATGACTGGAAAAGAACCGAATGCAAAAGACGAGTATATTTGAGATAGTAACAGAGAATCAGGAACTAGAAATGAGAGCTGAAGGAAGCATTGAGGAAGAATAACAAGGAAAAAGATTCAGTAAGGGGTATTAAGAGCAGAAGCACAAATGAGAGCAAGATAGAGGGACCCTGAAGTTGAAGCTAAAGAACTAGTGCTTGAAAAAGAAAATAACTATAGTCATAATAATGTTCTTTTAATTGCCTCATGCAGAAATTCTGGGAAATTTCAAGACAGATCCATGATTTCATTACATGGAAACAGGTCGAGTGTCCTTTTGAGAAGGACAAGAAGATCCACAGTTATCTCCTTACAGCACCCATTTACAGTGAAGAAGGTAAAGTCCCTTACTGAATATTATAATGAATCTTTCCACTTGTATGCGGACATAGGGCTTGGAGATGAAAGAATTAACATGCAAAAAGTATTCAAAAAGCATGTATTGCTACTTCTCACATTGGCTTCAAATCAGGATAAACTTCCTTATTCACCTCTGTTAACCTGTACCTGCTATGTTACTATTTTAAATTAAATAACTCTTTATTTTATTGCCTAGCTCTGTTCATTGCATCCTTTGAAAGTGAAGGTCCAGAAAATCACATGGAAAAAGACAGCTGGAAAACGCTCAGGTACGAAGTCTATCCAGAACAATGAGTCTTTTCACAGATACATACAGACATCTTTACGATCACTTTGCTTTATACTTGTGTTAATTTGATCTCTGAAGGCTGATGCCATTATGGAATACCCATTCCACTCGTGCCCTCCTATTTACACACCCAGCTTAAGCACTGTTTTGGCCCAGACATAACGTTGGTATTCCACTTTTCCTCCAAAACTCCTTTCGGTCTACTTTTAAGGGGGAATGACGACTCCTTGCTGCTCTAGAGGGGGAAGCAGCTCTTCTGTGTGCATGATGAGATCGGTTAATTGGGAAGAGGGCTCTCCTAATGCTCTGACCAACATAGTAAGAGAAACCTAGACCTTTGTAAACCACGCTGAACATTTAGATTTGACATATCAGCACCAGATGAGGAAAGACTCAAGAAACTGATGTGTCCACTGGTACAGCTGAGCTACATCATGACTATATTATAGTAGGGGAGACAATGATCCCAGTCTTTCTTAGAAAGTTCGTTTAAGTTTTTAAGTAGTGACACCTATGGAAAACGATGTACTTTATATAAAATCCAGTGCCATTCTTCAGGCAACAATAAGGATGACAGAGTAAAGTACATTATTTACGTGAGCACATCCTGTGAGACTTGAAGAGATGTTAGGAAGGTTACGTTTTTATTTTATAAGTCAGCATCTTTACTGGAATGCATAGGGGTAAAATACCCTTTGAAGAAGGACTTCCAGCTACTACTACAATTTGTGTTCAGTTGGCAAAACGCTTTGTTGTTTCAGTAGTGATTTACATTATAAAAAAATTCAGTTATTACCTCTTTTTCCCCCCCCCAGGACAACTCTGCTTAATAGAGCCTGAGGTCTCGAGATCTGATCTGCAGACTTCGAAGCACACAGAG